TCCAAAACCTGTAGCTGCCGAGGGTATTATTGTCGTATCTGGTACATCAGATCAAGCGCATGCTGCCCAAAGCCTAATTCATGCCTGCCTCCTTTGTGGACAGGCTTGACAATATGCCATAATGTTGAACAGATAAGTGGGGACACAGTAATTCCAGAAAAGAACACGCGACAGATCTGTTCTCGAGTCAAATTCACCAACCTTTTAAGTTATAGTGGTTTTTTTGTGTGGAGGCTTGGGCATTTTGTGTATCCCTTCATGATGGATTTTTACCTTTTTCAACGCTGAATATGATATCTTTTTATATAAATTATCTTGTTGGACTTACATGAATCACTGCTTCATTCACATTCTCTATGCACACAAGTACTTAATTCAAGCCTGGGAGAATCTTTGCTGTAATTTAGAGGAAGACCTATATGAATGACAATGATGAGAAAACTTGAAGTCTTTAGAATATAACTCTCCAAGTTACAGAGCAATGGCTGCGTCATATATTTCATCAAGTGGTTTGATATAATTTTCTCCTAGTGTGTCAAGTTTCGTGCAACAGCAAATGTGGATTAGTCTTATTGTTGAAACTGCTGCGATCTGGCGAAGCTCCGTCATCTCGGGCCAGTCCTGCCCATGCCATTAACTTGATCTAAGTTATAAGTAGCAGGTGTACATGGGTTAACTTATATACAGAGTGCATGTGTGCATAAACCATTTCCAAGTTTGAGATAAGCAGTAAATGTAATTCTGATTATGAAATTCTAGGCCTTGGTGCTGACATACTCCTGCTTGCCATGTTCTTTTGTACTATTTGGTCTGTGTATTCATTTTGAACTTCTTCTAAAACTAGTCAAGGTATTTTGTCTCGGTGACTTGATCTATAACCAAGACATTGTTTAAGATTTCTTTGACTTCTCAATAATAGGTTTAAATGCTGGTCATTGAATTTAAGCTATTTTGTGGCAGCTGGAGGGAACTTTTTGGATCTTTTTCTTACATTTGCTGACATGAATGAAATTTAGGATGATTTATAGTACCATAACAAATGGATTTGGGTATTTTAGATCCAATACATGTAGTTTATTTTTTATGTTTTCAGTATTTTGAGTTGACTATAATTAGTTAGGTAATATAATACTATTAGTTTGACTTACATAGATTATGTAAACTAATCATTTAATTGTCCTTTTATTTTTTTTTGGAGAAACTTCAAAAAAATTTATTGATTTTAGTGTACACATTTCTCTCTCTCTCTCTCTCTCTTGTTCGATATGCATACATGTGTGGGAATCTTAATTTGTAATCATATGTTTAAAACTCTTTGGTGGACTCAACTTGGTAATAACCAAACTATTTATGTATGTTTAATGAAGGATTAAGTCAAACTTCATTACTATTATTTTCTTTATTCCTTGTTTAAACGCACACAAGCTATTGAGTATCATGCATTTTAGGCTCTTGTGACAAAAAGCATAATTTACCATTTATCTGGGTGACTCTCACACCTTTACTATCAATGACTTTTGTACCCATTGTTCGAGTAGACTTCTTGGACGAGGTAAGGACTATCCTAATTTGATTTGAATTTATCTCCAATGTGACTCTTCATGATTATGGGTCTTCATCAACTTGAAATGATCAAAAGCATACCTTTGTTAAATGCTTTTGATAAAAAAAGCTTGATCGCATTCAAAGCATTCTTCGATTTGAATTTATTTGAATTCGATTAAAATTTATTTCCAATGTGATTCTTCATTTGATGGGTCTTCATAGAACTAACACCAAATCATTAACTTGAAATGATTGAAGGTATACCTTTGTTAAATGCTTTTGATAAACAAGCTTGACAGCATTCAAAGCATTGTTAAGCTTCTAATCTAGCTTGATCAAGGGCTTTTAATTCTCAAAGTTGATATTTCTATAATGATTTCTTTTTTACAATTGATATATATATATATATATAATGTATTTTAAAGATAAGTACTTGTATAATTTTATTTTTTTATTTTTACTTTTTTCAGTTCTAAACTATATCACACAGAGAACTTATCGCAATGACACTTGAATTCTTAATTTTTTGAAAAAAGATGACGTACATCACTTGAACTAAAATCATTTATTGCTTTCATGTCATTGCCAACAAAACATTTGCAGTTTCCCATTAACAAAGGATTTGATGTTAATTTAGAGACTCATGTTAATGATCCATCTTCCATTCAATACCCTTGAATGATTATTACTATATACTGGAGTTGTAAAATGTTTTATGCTGACTTTGTAATCTAGTAATAGCTTTATGTGTATAGGTTCATAGAAAGAGATGATTCCTTAAAAAGTCATATCATCTTACGAGATACATAGTGACAAAGATGATGATCATATGAGATCTAATGATTTTTTATTTTCATTGATTAATAGAACGATAATGATAGTAAATAAGATGTAAGATAAAGAAAAAAAAATAGTGACAAAATGTAACATTATGCAAAATGCCTTTTTTCTTAATATGAAATTTTATTTTTTGAAACATAACGAAGAATAAAACTAAAATTTGAATAGTCATTTTGCAATTAAAGAGTTTTATTTTTTCAATTATATGGTTCTTGTGATTTTAGTATGAAATTTGCATTATCATATGACACATATAACTTTTGAATACATATGTAAGAAAAGTGAGATTCAATAGTAAAAAGCATACTACTTGTAAATCTCAATGAAATTGGTGTAGAGGAGAAAAAGAGATTACATGTAGAATAAAGAATGGAAATCAAAGAACTCATGGCAATTACACAAGCAAATGGTAAGCGGTGGATTCTTGCAAAATTTGAGGAAATCATAACTCATGAATTGACAACTCCATAAACAGGCACAATTTAAGATCTCAAAGAAGATAACTCCTAGTCAAAAGAAGTTATGATTCAGAATATGCATTCATTTAAAATTCAGATAATTCTTTTGATGAATTTTCTTTGCATTGAGAATTGAGGAGTTCAGGAAAATCAGCTTCACAAAAAAAATGCAAAGAACTTTTTAGCTACAAAATGCAAAAAAGAGCTCACATATTGTTGATATATCCTTCTACAGTCTACTCTCCAAAAAAAGCAACCAACCTATTGGCCATTTTTTAACCTACCTGCAGCATAAAACCTGAACCTCTTTGGAAAGAGACCAGAGATACACAACTGGACTAGAAGTCAGCGCTCACCCAAAAGGCAGTTTTCTTTGATGAATTAGCTATTAGACTAAAGTTTATCTAGTAACCACTTCACATGTCAATTTTACAGAAATTACTGCTTTGAAAAGTACAAAGAGTATGAGTAAATGGGAGTGGATTGTCACTGCCTGCATCTTACTCATTTGTCTCTATTCTCGATGGAAACCAGTATGTCAAAAAGGCCAGAACACAGAAACACTGGTTAACTTGCTCTTTCCACAGCAATTCTATGTGGTGATATGCAGCCAACATTATGTGGTTATGTAGAGCCCAATGAAAAAACTTAACTGCCCAATCACTCCCATTTCCATCAAATTCCTCCGGATGAGCACTAAGCCAAAAACAGCCATCATGAGGGGTCACTAACATTTCCCGCAAGTCTAACCATTTGATCAGCCTCAAAATTTCCACCCTGCAGAGCATACAAGTTTTTGAAGCAGAAACCAGAGTGCTGAATTCTTGTTGGAGCACAAAGTTTCATGATAAACAAATAAAACACACTGATCAGTTGCTCACCTCCTCATTACTATTCAAGGAAGAAGTTTGTCCAGTTTGAGATGCTGTCTTGGAGAGGTCCCTCAGAGTTCCCTAAGTTCAGATTGTTAAAAGAAACAGACAGGAAGAGGATAAATGCTCAGTTAGTCCATTAATGGTCCAAATTCAGATGAAGAACAACTACATGCAGCAGATTAATGATAAAGCTAGTATCTAAAACAACCAGTAAACAACTTGATGGTGGACAGTAGAGTTTGAAACCAACTTATCCCACCATACTAAAAGAAATAAGAGGGTTTTTTTTTTTAATAGGAAAATAAATATATTAGACAAAGAGAAGACCTAAAAGAGGATACGCAATACTCCATAAACTCAAGGCAGAAAACAAACAAACAAACATTAGAGTTTAAAACAAAAGGGAAAAGAGAACAGAAGAATATATGTAAAGTAGTAATACAATCGCTTTGATTTGGAGAAACAGAGATCCCCTTAAAGAAAACATGCACTTTAGCCCAAAAAGAAGCTAAACACAGAAAAGGAGTGCTGCTTGAAAATTGAGCATTTCTCTCGAACCAAAGGACCTAACCCATTTCAAACGATGAAAAAACCCTAATACGGACCTCCCAGGCCTCCTCAAAGTGAAAAAAGAAAAAAAAAACATGACTTGTTCTTTGGCTGTCAATCACGCAAGAAGAGAGCAATTTAAGGTTAGCAAACCTGAAGCAAGTCGTTAGTGTAAATTTTCATCATTACCTAAATAAAATTCTAACCTTCTCCAAAAAGAGAAGGAAGAATAGTGTACTACCAATGCTACTACAAGTGAGATAATCAAAGAGAGATTTGCAAGTATAAGATCCTGAAGAATCAAGTGAACAAATTTTAGAATCAGGAAGTGGAATAGGATGATAAAATTCCAATAAAGACACCAAAGTCAAAGTTTCCCAGTCATTGATGTTTATCAAAAAGAGGAAATTCCAAGAACTATAGTATTCAAGAAGGGAGACAAAGGAAGCAATTGGAGGGTTATATCTAGTAGAAAGCTTGTAAAGACGAGTTCAACAAACTGGCCCCATGATCTCCCAGTCTCCTCCTATTGCAATTTGTAGTACCAAAGTTGAGCATTGCCTAATAAGTGGAAGGCTGACAATCCAACATTTTCGTTGTTAGCCATTCTTTGATTAATACAAAATTGTTTGCAACAATGGAGCCAAGCCAACCGGTCATCCGATCCATCGTAGATGGAAAAATCAAGTTTTGTATAGCGAGGAATACATCCTTTGTTATGCGAATTGATGTTGGATTCTTCGCGCCTTGGTTTAGTGTGCTACCTTTCCCCTTTCTGATTTCGATTTAAACCACCATTATCAATTTATACGTTGTCGATTTCTTCTTTTTCTTGGACTTGGGCAGTTCAATTGAGAAGAAATTTTAATTACTATGTGATTTGGTGCAAACTCTCTTTTGTTGCAGCTTCAAAAGCCGTCATCCGAGATTCTAGATTCCACAACTCTTTGCGTAAACTTTGGTCGCCCATGGTATCTTACTATGATACCAAATTGTTGTGTTCCCTAATTAACGATTGAGTCACCAGGCGGTTAACTACAAAGTCGTTTTCAAGTAAAGGGTTAACACCATTGTTCTTATTACGAGAGTAACCTATTTTGTGAAAATAAATTACAGTTTAGCAAAAAGAGCTGTTACTTTGGATCTCGTTAAAGAGAGTTCCAATCTTGTACTTTAAAATAATATTCATACTTTTCTTTATTAATATCAACCATACCTTTTTATATAGAGGTTACAATTCTTATTTAGAAATGTTAACCTAATTTGAAATTTAAATCTAATTAGAAATGCTCTATTGAGATATTGGAAATCCTACACTATTTAAAAATCAAGTACTAATGAAAAGTATATATATTATTTAGAAATTTAATACTAATTAAAATTCTAACTATTTAGGAACCTAATACTAATTAGGATTTCAACTATTTAACAATCTAATACTAATTAGGATTTCATATTTATTGAACGTCAATTTCTTATTTTTGTTGCGTCTTCTATATTTGCATCCATAACATATGGTAGTTGAACTAGAAGAGAAGAATAAGAAGAAGAAGAAGAAGAATAAGAAGAGAAAATCCAAAAGAGAATAATAGGAATTTTTATTACTCTGATCTGATGATGCTTACAAGAATTGGAAGATGGCCTTTATAGGCCTAAAAACAATAAAGAAAAACGTTTTCCGTGGCCAGAATTGCTCGGTTATTATGAGTGCAGGTGGCCGCGAATTGGCGATGTCCCTGTCCGGAAGGTGCGGTGGCTAAGATCTCGGTCCCTCTTCTGTTAGGGTTTAATTAGGTTAACCCTAACCCTAATTTTACATGAAAAGATTAATTTGTCCTTTTTTTGTTATTTTCTTTTTTTACTCTTTAATATTCTGACAATACTCTCTCCTTAAACATCAACTTTGTCCTCAAGGTTAAGTTGTGGAAAATTTTTCTTCGAGAGTCCCTTTCAGAACAATTTTCTTCATGGTCATTACTGTTTTATTTGTGTAATGGTGCCCTAAAAGGTATTGATCCCCACACTTGTAGCAAGTAATCGTTGCTCTTTTAAGTTCCATATTCCTTCGAAGCGATTGGTCATAATTTCTTGTTTCAGATACATTCGAGAATTTAACAACTTTACCAGTAAGATATGAATGTTGGACAGTTCTATTGCATATTGTTCCCGAAGTAAGGCCTATTCGAATACTTGATTAAGTGTTCGAGCCTTGAGAAGCCTCATCATGGATTATAGTTCTGGTTTGAGACCACTAAGAAAGGTGAATATCAAAAATCCTTTTGAAATTTTTGGGTTATCTACATCTACGAAAGAGCATAAATATTCAAATTATTCTAAATAATCGAGAACAGTACTTGTTTGGGATAGTTTAATGAACTTCTCTATGAAATCTTTTTGTGAGGGTCTCCTGAACTATCGTCAAAGTTCTTCCACAAAATATTTTCAGTCTAGAGTATCAAATTTAGTTTGCCACGAGATGGCTTTGTACATGACAAATCAGTCTAGATCCACATGAGGTCGGTCTAGAGAGAGTGCAAACGAAGCTATTTGCATCGGAATTAGAAGGCCAAAGAGGAAGAATCTGTGGTGGCGGACACCAGTTGTGAGAAGCCAGATCTGCGATTTTTTTAGGTATTTTTGGCACAATTTCACGATATCCGTACCGGATTTGAGCGCACGAAATGTCTGGGGTGATTTTCGTTCAATTTGAGGCGACACGCGGTGGTCCGACGACAGTGCACACGGCGGCGTGTGGTGGTCTGGCGGAGGTGCGTGGAGATGCGCGAGGTTGTGTTCTACTTACATGTAGCGTTCTTTTTACGCAATGGTGTTTCCCTATGAGTGGTTGCTTAGTACTTGACAGCAGTAATTCTCTCTATTTAGTTTTTTCATTTGCCTTGAGCGTCTCTGCTTGCGGGGTTTCTGGGTAATTTTCATTTGACAATTTAATTCTTAAATTAAAATGGATGATAATATTGTCTGCTACTACTGTCGTGAATATGGAAATATAAAGCAGTACTATAAGAAATTGTAGAATCGCAGTTGAAGAACACAGGACACTAATATTGTTTCAGCTACTATTATGTCATCTTCTAAGAGAACTGTTATGATTTCAGCTAACGAGTACGCTAGATTCTCTCAATATCATAAATTTCTAAAAAAAATTCCTACTCTTACTTAATTAGGAAAAAATGTCTTTATCTTCTCCTCGAACAAATGGGTTATTGATTCAAGTGCTACAGATCACACGACAAATAATTCTAATATCTTTTTTACCTTTCGATCATACAAAACACCGTCTCTAGTAATCATTACTTATAGGTCAACCTATAACATTGTGGATTCTGGGATCATAAAACCAACTTTATTTATCACTCTATCATCTGTATTAAGTATATCTAAACTTACTTTCAATATGATTTCTTTTAATAGACTTACTAAAAATCTTAATGGTTGTATTACATTCTTTTCTGATCAGTTTTTTTCAAAATCTTGTGACAAAACAGATTATTGATGAAGGATATGTATAAGATGGTTTCTACATTCTTAATATTTGAATATCTCAATCGGTTGTCTACTCTAGTGTCGTTTCTCCATTCAAAACACATTGTCAATTAGGACATCATTCTCTCTCTGTGTTGAATAAGTTATGTTTTCAATTTCATCATGTACCTTCATTAGATTGTGAATCATGTCAATTTGCGAAATATCACCATTGTTTATCATATCCAAGAGTTAAGAAACGAGTTGAGTCTACTTTTGAGTTAGTCCATTATGATATTTGGGGTCTCTATCCCGTTCTGTGTAAAATATAATTTAAATATTTCATTACCTTTGTGGATAATTTTCTCGAATGACTTTGATATATTTTGTAAAGAATCATTTTGAAATATTTTCTCACTTGCGCTTTTTGTATTGAAGTCAAAACTCAATTCAATATTTTTGTACATGTATTGAGAAGTGATAATGCTAAAAAATATGTCATACTCATTTTAAAATTATATGACTCAATAAAAAATTCTCTACCATTCCTCTTGTGTTGACACACCCTATCAAAATAGAGTAGTTGAAAAAAAAAAACAGACATTTACTTAATACTCTCGAGCCTTTTTGTTCCAAACATAAGTCCCTAAGCAATTTTGGGCTGATGTTTCTAGAGCCTGCTTTTTGATTAATTGTCTGTCATCTACAGTACTTGATGGAAATGTTCCTTACAATGTTTTTTTCCAAACAAATTATTATTTTTGGTACAGCCTCGAGCATTTGGTAACACCTGCTATATTCGAGATGTGCGACCTAATATTACCAAGTTGGATACAGAAGTCTATAAGTGTCTTTTTGCAATATTTTTTCTTTTAGAAATGATATCAGTGATATTCTTCATATCTCAATAAATATTTAGTATCAACTTATGAGGTGTTTTTGAAGAATGCACTACTTTCCTCCTTGTCATCCAATTCCATAAGCCAAGGGGGGAACGATGAGTGACTCATCGATGAATTCACATCAAGTGTCTAAACTGAGCAATC